TTCCTTCTGGTACCTGCCCACAAAGGTTCAAAGTTGTGAATAACTAAAACGTTTATAAAATCCGAAATAAGCATAAGATTATTTTTATATTTTACACATCCCATCATGGCTCAATAAGAAAGGTTGCTCAATTTCAAAGAATGTAGAAAAATGCAACTCTGTGCTGGAGTCTTATAGTGTCAAATAGACTTTTAAAAATTTATTTGTTTATTTTTATTTTTTTTTTTTAATTATATTGGGGGAAAACTCGCGAAACTCGAATGGAATTTCGGGGTTATTTCACAATATTGATCTAAAATAGTAGGACAATACAGTTTTATCACAAAATTATACAATTTTTTACCCATTCACATCAAAAATGTGCATTTATTTTGCAACCAAATTTGAGATAATTTTGAATTTTTGTATTTTTTATTCAAAACAATCCACACACATACACAAAATTTGTATATGTGTGTTGGCAGAATAAGGGCACCAAAAGAAAAAAATGTATTTAGGGGGTAGCTTTGTTCTACCTTCTGTAATTATGCCATGACATCCCATTATTTCTACTAACTCAAGATATGATGTGAAGATGGGATATATCGGTCCACTCCTTCAGGCTCAAAATTTTCAATTTCCATGAAGCTTATAAATCTCGAAATTAACATCCGTTTCTATTCAGACATGCTACATCGGAATATTTTCATCAACACAAGAGATGGGAACATTTTTTCTGATACCTTCCATACATAGGGTTCAAGCTCAAAAGATAGCGAAATAAGCTCCAACACTCTCTTTACATTTCACACATTCAATTATTTTTGCTCACACAAGATCTGTTGTGGGTAACAATTTTCAATAATTTTATCTGTCGTAACTTGCGAAATAAATCAGCGATATCTCATATAAAGGAAAGGAAGTAGTCGATATAGTCCAAACCTGGCACGTCTCAATATTTATATCATATCATACAGGAATACAATGCAATGAATAATTATAACCCAGTCAAAATATATATTTAAGTAATCGAACATATGCTGAGGGTTTACATCTGCCGGCAAAGCCGACTGATACTATTTTACTTATTTTTTGTTTAATTGACACTTTCCTCACAATATTTATGTATTGAAAAATTATTGGAACATCGCGGATTTTTCACAGTAACGATTTTCCTAATAGTATTACAATTCTTTAGTCTTCCCAAAAACCGAAAATACGAAATGTTTATTATATTTTTTTGACAAAAAAAAAACCGTTTTTGCTGTAACAACATGCGGATGCACACGCATTTTTGAACTTTACTTTTGGATTGCCATTTAAATTTACAGTTTGTTACACTTGTCATTCAAAAGGAATTATAAAATGCATTTTAAACAATTGAAAAAGTTTGCGCGACTGTTCACTCAAATTTTAAAGTAAAATATATTTACCGGTATTATTGTACCATACAATGGGACGACGGTTTTGCTTATATCAATCAACTGGATTCGGATATATTTTCCACTTAAACGTATGCAAATGTGACGAGAAGGATCGAATATTTTACGACTCTAATCTAATAGCAAAGATCGGATGTTTCATGGCATCAGTTGAGCTCATGGAAATGTTATGAAAAAGATAGAATGTTTACCGACTTTTTTTAAACTCACGCAAATATGGTAAACAAAAATCGGAAGTTTCATAAGTTCCCCTGAAATCATGCAAAATAATATACTAGCAGATTGCATTCTAGCATAAATTTCACTCGTTGTGCTAATAACCATCATGTTCGGGATTATATTACATATTTGTTGCACAATAGACATGAAATGGGATTAAATCAAAAATGGGATTTGCAAAATTGTGCCTCTATTAGACGAGAAATGTGACCAGTACAATAGTTCCCGAAATGTATAGTCATGTGTGAATCGACATAGACCGTGATTACATACATCACATATTCCTGAGATGATTGGGGATTCATATTTAAAATAAAACTTGTATTTTTGTTAAACAAATCTGTACATGACTGCAATTATTCGAAAGGAAGAAAAATGTTCCACTCATGGCCTAATGTTCCACGTCAAAATCACAAAATCTAAAAAGTGTTCATTAAAAATTGGACTTACGACTTTTGCGTGCGTGCATTTTAATAAATAAGTTTGGAAATGAAATCATAATTTTCATTATGAGGTGTCCAACGACTATAGAATTTTATTCAGATCAAGAATATTATCGTTTATGGTACCCAGCGAATATTTCGAGGTGACGCAAACTGAATGGCGAAATGAATATACACCCGCTGTCTTGCAATCATATGTTTAGATTTTTTTGTTTTAACGTCATCCACCACAGGTCTGTTCTGTTCTGATCTGGACAAGGACATTTGTGGGACTGCATCGAAATGGATTATGCCTATATTCGGTATTTTAGTTTTTTTTTTTTTGCCACATTTATTCACAGATTTGCCCCCATATAACGGTACCTCCCGGTATTCGGTATTTTGATGGTTTTTGCCACACTTTTGCACGGATTTGTCTGAAAATTGGTATTTGTTGGTCATAATGGGTTCCAGCTCCGGTGGCGAAACATTGCATGTATGGGTCCTTGATTTGGTATAGCCCCCATATAACGGGACCTCCCGATATTTGGTATTTTGATGGTTTTTGCCACATTTTTTCACTGATTTGTCTAAAAATTGGTATTTGTGGGTCATAATGGGTCCTAGTTCGTGCGGCGAAACATTGTAATTATAGGTCCACGTTTTGGTGTAGCCCCCATATAACGATACCTGCCGATATTCGGCATTTTAATGGTTTTTGCCACATTTCTTCTAATGTTTCTTTTACCCTAAGGTGGAGGGTATTAAAAGTTTGGCCCGGCCGAACTTAATGTTTTTTTTTTTACTTGTTTCCCTACATTTTATCTATATTTTAATTTCATTATATAATGTGTGTGATGTGATGCGATATCCAAGAATATGGCTGGATCGTATTGAAATTACTTTAAATTGATTCACATTTTCGTGGTAAACCTTGAAATCAAATGGGAATAAAAAGTGTATGAACCTTGATTTATTTTTCTCCGTCTTACCGCATTATAATTTACATTCAATTTCCAGCTAAAGTTTTGAAGATGAATTTTAACGGCATTGTTTTTGAATCAACTTAGAAAAACGTTCTACCAAAAACTGTTCAATACATCTCCACTGTTTGTCACAGAGGGGTTCAGATCAATCTTAAGTATTTTGAGGCACTCAGAATGCTAAAGTAAGAATTGTACATTCGTTAAGAGATGTTTACCGCATTGCAACATTAAAATCTCAATACTAGATTCCAACGAATACCTTCATCCATCTTGGTCTTGTCGTAATTAAGAGCATGTGCTTGTGAAATTTTACAGCTAGAAGTGTGTCCCCCTTTTTTTTTTTTTGAAATATCTAACAAGGAACCTTCAAATGTATTTGATTGATAAAGTAAAACAGTAGATTTGAATTACTCTTTGTTCACTCAAACCCTTTTTTCCAATAAAGGTCTGACTATCGCTAGGTATTTTTAGTATTTTCGCGCTTTTGACCGCCGGATTACTTGTACATAGTAAAGAAAATACGCTCCGTTCAAAAAGGTCTATTAGGTTTTCAAACCAGCATATTTTAAGTGGCTTGAAGGTCCCAATCCCAATTTCTCGCACCTCCAAAAAAAATTATATGTTCATGTTTATAATATCCACCACATAACATTGCAGCTGAAATATTAGGATTGATATTGGAAAAATTATAAATGACTCCTCGTTTAGATGTTGCTACCACATAACGGCACCCCCGATACTTGACATTTTGCATGTATGTTCGGACTACTACCAGCTGTTCTTCGATTGAAATAAATTTGAAATAAAGTTATTTTCATACGTTTAAACGTAATTATATTCTATATCATTATATGCACAATTTACGATGCTATTTTTTATGCATTAATGCTGTTTTATAAAGAATGAATCGGTGAATCTGTAATTGTCGAGAACGCATGAGTTTAAACGTTCCGCAAATATATTAAAACAACCGTCGACAATTTTTTTTTTGAAACATAAATTGTTTTTTTTTTTTTTTTTTTTTTTTTTTTTTTTTTTTTTTGTAAACCTACATGTTTGTATGTGTGTATGACAAAACACCCATATATGTATGCTTACATTGCATTTGAAAGATTGATGGATTTATTGGCACTCGGTTCGACGAATCTAACTCAGTCGTTTTAAGCGGATACGGATGTGAATTTTGTGCCAAGTTTACCATTTACGTAATGAAATGAATTGTATTGATACTGCCACCTTTACTTTTTTCGAATAGCCTGCCAACCAAAGCATCGAACCACTTTTTTACAGACACGCTGGCAGGCATTGTTAACAAATCATTGGCACTACACATTCGAAACTTATATGATAAAAAATACACAGCACAAAACAACAATGGAAATAGAAACATTGCCTAATCTCGACGAATACAACACGGCAGGAGCAATAGGGGCTCCGGCCTAGTATTTGATATAGGAACAAAGTGTGACAGAATAGTAGATCCTGGTGGTAGAACAGGATTACGGTCGTCGTTGTCACTGTTTTGAAATATCCATTCGAATTGGAGGCCGTCTGTATTGTGTTGTGCATTGGCAAAGATGCGGTGTTCAACTGAATTCCTTGATGCCCGGCGGTTTGCGCATGTCCCGGACACATTCATTTGTTTGTCTGTGTGTGTGTGACGTACATTGGCTTTCTTTGTCTGGCTCGTTTGGGTGGGTGTTTCTGTGCGAGTGTAAGTGAAAGTGGAGAAACAAAAAGCTTTTCTCTCTTTGTGCCCCTGTTTGTCGATGTGACATCCTTTTGGGAGAGCAATGTGTCGCACACAACAAATCACATTTACACCCACCAACACATACACACACACACATATATACGTGCATACCATACCAGCAATTCAATAACAAACTGATGAAAAGCTAACGAGAAACTTCCGTTTGTCATACAAAATGCATGAAGAGCCAATGAGGATTGAGACCTTTCCGTGTGGCAGACGCCACACTGGCCATTCGAAAAGGGGGTGGACCGTGCGCCTGGGCACGCCTCTTATAAATTATGGAAACATGTCCTCCCCAAAATAAACTGGAGTTAGTAAAACTCATCATAGAATTCTTTATCACACGGCCGTTGTCTAGTTGTGAAATCTGTTCGGGTCCGTTTAGTTTAAACAATAGCAGCAGATACTTACACTTACTTACAGTTACTGGCGTGACAACCTGCTTGCTAGCTTGCTTGCCTGCCCGATTACTTCTTGTTGTTCTTCTTCTTCGACATCTGGTGGCAACTCACTGGTGGGCCAGCCAAATACTTCTTGAGATACAATAATTATACCCATAACAGTGCGTGTTTGTTATCCAAGCCAGTTAACCAACCAGCCCGTCATCCAGTCAGCAGACCAAACATCCAACCAAAACAGCTTACTTCATAATTTATCAAGCTTATTTGTGATTCATAGTTAGTATTCGTTATTTCATTATCAATTGTGATCAATTTTATAATTAAAGTTTCATATCTGGCGGTAACGGAGACGACGTAAGCGGCAAAAAATCGAAGAAAAGAAACGAGAAATTATCCAAATGCCAACATTCCGACGCTGAAATTGGGATATCACTCAAATTGGCAAGGATATGCGCCATATTTAGTAGAAAACCAAGTAACAACTCCATTTAACTCAATCCTAAGAAGAAGAAAAAATCATTTACGTGTTTTCGCCCAAATAATTGTACATTAAAAAATTTAAGAAAGCAGTTCCACAACTGAAAACGGATAACGTTCGCGTGTGCAATCTCTCTGGAAAATTAAAAAAAAATCCATTATTAGTTAAAAGGAATTTTTTTCGACGGCATAGCAATAGAAGAAGCCGCCATTTTTACCGGCTCCAACTTAAATACCTTTTTGATTTATTACTAATTTGTGTTGTCCTGCTCGAAGGAAGCAGGATTTGTGCTTGAAATTGTATAAAAGTGCTTCAAAATTTACTCGCCAACGACATTTGACGCCTCCAGGGCGTTCAAACTAGAGGAAGATTTCGTGGGAGGCTGCATGACCATGTCGATGTATTCATCGACGGATAAAATGAAAATGTCGGCGCCCAGCTGTTTTCCCGGTCGCTACAGTCCTTCCTACCGAAGTTCCGACCAAATGCGGCGATGTATGCCAAATCCATCGGTAAGCAAAAGAACGTGTATCTGTAATAAAAATATCTATCCCACACACAGCAAATATTTGGTATTGAAAATTTTATTTAAAATTTAAACGATTTCATTCAAAATCAGTAAAAAAAGAAATATCTTTCGAGTCAAATTTCAAATCACGAATAAAACTATTGTTCCTGTCGGTACGTCTAAATATAACTTAATTTTTGCATTTTGTTTGTCGCTGAACGTCACCGAAATCATAAACAAATGAAAGATTGCATAATACTCGCTATTTTTGTGGAAATGGGAAATTAGTTGCTAGAATTTTGGCAGTTTTGATTGTCGATTTTTTTTTAGTTGTAAATATCAGTTTGAGATGACGATTTATTTTATTTTGACTTTGCTAAGAGCAGAATTTAACATACATTATATGGGAATTTAAAATATTCCATACATTCTTTATTCGGCACAAAGTTAACAACTGTTTGCCTTTGACAAAGGAACTGTTAATTATACATTGTGATAGAGAAATGGTTATTGTCCAGTAAAACTGTAAAGATTTCCCTACAATCTATAACCAATTGAATTCTAAACAACAAATTCATCAAATACAACAAGTAAAAAATCAGTAAGGGCCGAACTTTATGTACCCTTAGGTATAGAAAATATTCTAAATCAAAGTATCTGGATTCAAACGGGTCCACTTTAAACTACAAATACCAGTGAGACCGGTGGGAGAATGCAGAAAAACAGTAGAATGTGTGAGCCGTTGTAAGTGGCCCATAACAAAAAGGGAACTTATATTCCCATGGAAATATGTGGATAGGAAAATCAATATACCGAATATCGGTGGGTACTGTTATGTTGAAAAAAATGGACCACTATGAACAATTCTCTAAAACCGGTTTTGGAACTATAAATTTTACAGACATCCTATAGAAAATGTGGCTTAATTCGTCACAATATCAAATATCCGAAGGAATCGTTTTATGGGATCTGAAGAGTTCAGCCACAAGAGGTAGGACTTATTACAAACTCTAATATAAAATTTGTATAAATTTTGAGGAATAATGTGGCTAAAGTCACCAAAATACCTTCCCATATATATAATGCTCGTCCATCGAAGATTGAATTGAATCCCTAAGAAAATGTGGCTAATACGATATAAAAATCGTAAAAACACCGAATATTGGAAGGTACCGTTGCTATGCGAAATCATGAACCGATATACCTCAATACCAACCATCCTAGTCATAATGCAAACTACTGTGGTAAATTTCAAAGATCTAAGTCAAATAACCTTTCAACAGATAGATGGACGGATATATAGGCGGACATCTTTAAGGATTTAATATCGAACTAAATCAAAAAGTGTATGTTATGAACAGAAACCCTCTCTGTCTAGTAACTAACGCCTATTTTTAATCTTTCAATAAGTTCATTAAAAACTTTACTTTTTATACCCTCCACCATAGTAAAGGGGGTATATTAAGGTTATCATTCCATTTTCAACAACTCGAAATGTACATTTTAGACCTCACAAAGTAGGTTGATAAAATTTTACTCAAAATGTATATTATATCTGCACGACTTTTTGTATTGAAAATAGGCCATGTAGGTCCACGTTTTTGGTATAGTTCCCTATAATGGTACCTCCCGATATTCGATATTTTAATAATTTTACCGACAATTTTTACCGGAATTGTTACAAACTTGGTATTTAAAATTTGTAATGGATACTACAGCCTAAGACAGAAAAGTGTCTGTGCAGGTCTATGTCTTCGTCCCGATATTCGGTATTTTGATGAATTTTATGATGCAGGTCCACGTCGTCGTATAGACCCTAATATAACGGCTACGTTTGGTATTTTTAAGATTTTAACAGAATTTTTAACGGATTTAATTTTGTTGAAAATTTCCAAATTCGTTCGTGGTGGATGGTATTTAATCATTTTTACTTGTTTCTCTACATGAAGTAGGCGACAACAAGGGCGAGTGTTATATGCTTTTACCGCCAAGAAAACTTTAACTTACACTCTGCATTGTACGACTTCACAGTAAATTCTATCCTGCAACAAATTTATCGGACCCCGTCTTTCAAATAGGTCTTTTTAAATATTTGCAATAACTTGGAAATGTGTAATAGTATAAAACAGTATATGTGAGCTACATACAGCTAATCCAATATCATAGAATTCGATACGTAAGAGATATTTACTTGTTAAATATCGGTATAAATTTAATGCAGTTATATTCTCCTGAACCACCACTTCAGTGCGGTTGCCATGCACAATAACTCTCTATGGAAGTATTCGATTAGCTTATCAACTTTTTCATATCATATTAAAATTGTCAAGCGTAGATCAAGCTTAAAGATAGAATATATCGGTCCACTTCTAATGTCGCCTACCTCACAAAGCTCAAATCTTAAAAAAAAAAGATTCTTGTAAATCCTTGAAAGGATTACTCAATTTGGATGAAGTTTCGTGCATCTTAATATTTATAACTAACTTTAGAAAGGTGCGAATATCTGCAGGACCGCCCCACAAACTGACAAGTTAAACAATTTCCCAGAAATCAACAACATCGGCTCAACTCTTCTATTACCTTCCCTACAATAGTTTAAAAATTTCAATATTTTCATTGATTTTCAACAAACCTTACACATTGTAATATTTTTTCTCGTCCATAAAAAGTCAAAATCTTAACGAAATTAACGATTTTAATATGAAGCAGTGATTTGGTCTGAACTTAGCGAAAGATTACAGACATGGCTTTTTTATTTTCAAAGAATACGTACATTCATGGTTAGTTAGTCTTCAAGCATCAAAACCCAGAATGAGCAGTTGGACATTCTTAGCAAAATCTTCACAATACCCGATATATGGATTCTGTACTGAACCGAAATCTTACACTGAAAATTTATTAAAATTAAGGCCAATTCGAATGAAAATTCAAATTCAACAATCTTGCGATATTGTTGGTCTTCATACTTGTCCTAGTTGCAGCAAAATTATTCTTTGGAGCAAAATTCAACCATGCAAAAAATAAGTCTTATATTACTTATGAGGCTAATATTTCAGCCATTTGTTTTAGATTACGTGTTACCTTATCTCAATATTTGGTAGTAAAGTGTAAATTTCTTGCCAGCTGAAGGGAGATGAAATAAAAAATTGTATCTATTGTAAATTGTATATGATATACCCATGGCTCAATAAGAACAGTTGTTCAACTTCAAAGAAACTAGGAAAAATGCGACTCTGTACTGGAGTATTATTGTGTAAAAATAGACTTTTAAACATGCAGCAATTTGTTTGGTTTTTTTTTTACATTTTTAAATTTTTTCACAAAATTACTATATTGTGGAATACCATAAAACAGGAATGGAGTATTGAGTTCGTACCAAGAACTGAATCCAAGATAGAGGGACAGGCTTGTTTTATCCCAAAATTGCATCTAAATCATTTTGCATCTAAATTTGAAATTATTTTCTTTTTTTTTGAACAACAATACACAAACATATACAGACTGTGTATATTTTTTGACAGAATAGGGGCACCAAAGGACACAAATTGTGTGTAGAAGGTGGCTTTGTTCTACCGTCTGTAATTGTACCATGGTTATACTATTATATTTCTGAAGAAAGTAGGCAAAGTACGGATTTTTTGTAATTATCATAATTATATCCTACACAACATAGTGGTAAGGGCATTATGTCTTTGTTCATTTGTTTATAACAGGGAGAAAGATGCGAGATAGACCCATAGTTACTTTTGAGGATCTTAGGATAGAATCACTTTTTGAGTCGATTTATGCATGTTCGGGTAAATTGCGCATCTAATGGCTAATACAAGTCCAAATGACCTGTATTTTGGTACATCCCACCGAATTCAGTCTAGAAATAAGTAAATAAGTCCCTTACATGCGTAATATGCACTCCAGAATAATGATATTTGGTATCGGATAGCAGATACAGCTCCAAAATAAGTGTATCAAATCTCCCATATATATCCTCAACCGATTTCGGGTTAATTGTGCACCTAATGGCCAATATCAGTCCAAATCACCTGAATTTTGGCATATCCTACCGAATTAAGACTAGAAGGAAGTACATTAAATTCGAGAAAATCGGTTCAGATTTAGCTATAGCTCCCAAATATATGTTTTACCCCTTACATGCGTAATATGCATTCGACAACGATGATATTTGGTACCAGATATCTTATAAAGCTTGGAAATACCTGTGCCAAATTTTAACCAGAACGACAAGGATTTGGATATATCTCCCATATATATCCTTAATCCGATTTCAGGTTTATTGTACAAATAATAGCTAATATCAGCATAATGGATTGAATTTCGGGACGTACGTTTCCATTTTGTGCACTCGGCTCCGATATATATTTTTTAATATAATCCTACTACTAAGTATGCATGCAAATATGCAGTGGTGTAAGGTATCATATTGTCGACCCTGCTCGATCTTTGACTTTTCCTTACTGTTTTTTTTTTTTTTTCGTTTATAAGACTTATATAGATTACTAGCTGAACCGGTCAGCGTTGCCGGTCCCTAATTTATTTGTTTAATAATTACTTTTAGGAACACCATAATATTCAAATTGAATTGAATTATATAAACCGTATAGGTTGCAATATTATGCCATTTCTGTTTGAAAAAAAAATATACTTTCCCAAAAAAAAAAAAAAATCGGCATTGAGTTGCAGTTAATATATGAAATTGCCGGCTTTCATGGTTTTGGATAATTGATGTTTTTCTCGTTTTGTGGGTTATTGCTGTTGCCTTTTGAGCCCATTTCTTTCAAGGCTCCAATATTTAAAATTCGCAATGTCCTTCATATAGTGGTATCCGGCACTTCACTAATATCAATCCCAATTTCCAACCAAATGGTCTGCAATTTAGCATTATGGTTCTTTATTAATTCAAACATTGTCATACGCAATTACCATCTTATTATGCACTTATTTGATCTGCATTAGTTTTTCAATGTGAATTAAAAAATAAAAGTATTGCAAAATTAACAATTCAATTAACAATTCAAAAAATTCCATGCGATATAACAAAAATTACAAAACAAATAAAATTTAATTTAAAAACATACAAATAAATTTAAATGGTTATAGTAGACCTTGCACAAAAGTGTCATACCGTCTACTTTGTTTGAAAATAATCTAGTCTCCCTGAAAATCAGTAATTTGTAGGTAGTGTGAAGTTGAGTGACATTTCGATGAAGACAATGCGATGAATTCTGAGAGAATAAAGCAAAAAAAAAACATATTTTCTATATAAGTCATTTGGAAGGATTCCTGTCTACAGGAAACCTATGGAAGTTTTTAGATGCAGAAGAAATTTCCAAAGTATTTTTATATAGAATACCCAAAATATATGAGACTTATGTAAAAACGTGTACCGACATTGGACCAAAATTGAAAATGCATGAATCTGAAAATTATGCTACGACAACAGATTTCTTCCTCTATGATATGGAAAAAATTGCAAAACTTGAAGATTGTTGCAGGTTCGGACTAGGGCCAATGCTAAGTGAAATTTGAGCTTAAATGTTCTGTTTATATTTTTACCAAAAAAAATAAAACATCCCAGCTAAAAGTTTGCATCCAAAAATGTAGTTCATTCACCGGTAAAAGTGTCGCTGTATCTCAAGATTTTTACAGATGGTGCCCCAGTTACTTTGCAGTCCACTCTGCTCCATATCATGCACTTAAATGTTGGAATGAATTGCAATGAGTATAATATAATGATAAAAATATAGTCTCTTAATTAAAAGTAAACAACTTTTATAACAATTTTTTTTTGAAACAATCGCTCCAATTTTTATAAAACTCCAAAAAGTATAATAGTTACAAAATATTGTATTTCTTAAATGAATATTGCAGTTAATATATGAAATTGCCGGCTTTCATGGTTTTGGATAATTGATGTTTTTCTCGTTTTGTGGGTTATTGCTGTTGCCTTTTGAGCCCATTTCTTTCAAGGCTCCAATATTTAAAATTCGCAATGTCCTTCATATAGTGGTATCCGGCACTTCACTAATATCAATCCCAATTTCCAACCAAATGGTCTGCAATTTAGCATTATGGTTCTTTATTAATTCAAACATTGTCATACGCAATTACCATCTTATTATGCACTTATTTGATCTGCATTAGTTTTTCAATGTGAATTAAAAAATAAAAGTATTGCAAAATTAACAATTCAATTAACAATTCAAAAAATTCCATGCGATATAACAAAAATTACAAAACAAATAAAATTTAATTTAAAAACATACAAATAAATTTAAATGGTTATAGTAGACCTTGCACAAAAGTGTCATACCGTCTACTTTGTTTGAAAATAATCTAGTCTCCCTGAAAATCAGTAATTTGTAGGTAGTGTGAAGTTGAGTGACATTTCGATGAAGACAATGCGATGAATTCTGAGAGAATAAAGCAAAAAAAAAACATATTTTCTATATAAGTCATTTGGAAGGATTCCTGTCTACAGGAAACCTATGGAAGTTTTTAGATGCAGAAGAAATTTCCAAAGTATTTTTTATATAGAATACCCAAAATATATGAGACTTATGTAAAAACGTGTACCGACATTGGACCAAAATTGAAAATGCATGAATCTGAAAATTATGCTACGACAACAGATTTCTTCCTCTATGATATGGAAAAAATTGCAAAACTTGAAGATTGTTGCAGGTTCGGACTAGGGCCAATGCTAAGTGAAATTTGAGCTTAAATGTTCTGTTTATATTTTTACCAAAAAAAATAAAACATCCCAGCTAAAAGTTTGCATCCAAAAATGTAGTTCATTCACCGGTAAAAGTGTCGCTGTATCTCAAGATTTTTACAGATGGTGCCCCAGTTACTTTGCAGTCCACTCTGCTCCATATCATGCACTTAAATGTTGGAATGAATTGCAATGAGTATAATATAATGATAAAAATATAGTCTCTTAATTAAAAGTAAACAACTTTTATAACAATTTTTTTTTGAAACAATCGCTCCAATTTTTATAAAACTCCAAAAAGTATAATAGTTACAAAATATTGTATTTCTTAAATGAATATTGCAATTTATAGCAAGTAAAGAATTATGTTCTAAGTTCTTTGCGATTCTGGAGCAATTTGACTGCCGAAGTCAACACAACATTGCATTTCAAAAGACACTGACGAAGACGAACTCTTTTAAATGAATCTTTAAATTTAGTTTAAAAAATTCCTCACTTATTCTATCGCTGATGCGACCGATCCCTGGATTACATGATAATAATTCATGACTCCAACCACACCAATACAATCCATTTTTTCAGGGATATTATTTTCAACTCACCCAACTACGCATTGCGTATGAAAAATTGTCAACTTTAGGCTGTTTCAAATATTCAACATTAGAAATATAACTTTGAAATGGAAATATGGTCCTTGCGCGTTTGGTTAATACGGCAGTGAAAAATGCTTGATTATGATGAAAAGGTAGGTATTTTTGTACGCAAGAGCAATAATCAGGTTACGCGTCTTACTCGTCTGTAATTGGGTTTTATACTCTCCACCATAGTATAAAGGGTATACTAAGTTTGTCATTCCGTGTGTAACGCTTCCAAACTCTATATAGCCTTCATACTATGGTGGAGAGTATAAAAACCCAATTACAGACATGATTATTGCTCTTGCGTACAAAAATACCCACAAAAATAGGCGCACGATCAGCATAAAATTCTATGTCGACTGAGCGTCGTCCGTACGTCTGTAGAAATCATTATAGCTTTCGAACGGAATGAAGTAGGTAAATAACATTTTACTCAGATGTGTTTTACGTCTGCAGGACTTTTAGTATCCAAAATTCGCTATATAAGTCCACATTTTGGTATATCCCCCATATTACTGGTATAAGGTCACAATTTTAATTCGAATCATCTGTAAATTGGGATTTTGAAGGAAATGCAGTATGTAGGAAACTTCTCTCCATAGAACTGTCCTGTACCTCCAGATTTATTGTATATTGATGAATTTATGATTTTTCAACAGAATTATCTCCAACTTGGTGTTCGAAGTTCGTAATAGGCAAAAACGTTTTCATATACAATTGCAACACCAAGTTTTTAAAATTATAGCGGACTTTTTACATGTTTTTTTGTTTACATTTTTCAAATCCCTGCGAAATGGTGGGGGAATGGAAATGGATGATATTCACTCTGTATGTTTGGAATTTATCTCACTATCCACTTGGCATGGAAGTGCCAGTATATTAGTAGTGAAGAGCACCAACCAACTAGTCCATCCATAGCCATCTCACAACGTCTAGATTCCGAAAACTCTTTCCCAACACAACTCTAAAATTTGATGTTGGTATTGGAATTGAGATATTGAGGTGGTTTTGGAAATGTGTACTATAATTGTTTGTAAAGTACTAATGGTACTAATTTTGAATCAGTGTCGTTGTCTAGGATGGGGAGATGTAGATTGTTTTGGATATGCGTACTAAATGTAACTAAATTTGGTATTGAAAATTGAGTTAAAATTCTGAAATTCTAGATTTTACATATGAAGACGTTGTTATGGTTGTAGACAAAAAATTGGATGTTGATCCTTTGCTCAATAGTTTTTACAACATCCTCCTCACTAAACTTCAAAATGAAAGAATTTGAAGACTTTTTGGTGTGAAAGGTAAACATTAGAGGTAAACAATTAGGTAAACAAAGGAAAAACTTGCATATAATACGTAATCAAAGTTTCATATGTCGTACTAAATTTTCAGACTTCCAAGATTTAACACATATGTGGTCTATGAACTAAATTATTAATGACTTGATTTTTTGCGCCATAACATACTTTTTTGGGAGATAAAGACGGACTATTTTGTTCCTGTATATATTAATATTGTTCTCATTCCTGCAACAAATTTGGATCTTGACATTGTACAATCCGTTTTCAATTGTAAAGCCGTTATATGCTTCCCAAAGGCAATTAATCTTCTACTTCCATTGGTGTATTCGTCTATTTCGGTTTCGAAATTCAGCTGCGCTATACCTTTACAGTAGAGTGATATTATATAGCCAGATACGCCCGACATTTGTACCTTCCGTGCTGGTTAAACCTAATATGTTAAAGTGTATTTTCGATTTCAACGTTCTTTTCTCTTTTGGTGCAATTACAATGTAATAAAAAAAAAAAAAAAATATATATATATATATATATATATATATATATATATATATATATATATATGATATATTTTTGCAATACTCTTCTGTCAAGACTGAAGAAATAACAATACATTATTTAAAATAACAACACATGTTGCTTTTTGCCACAATTGCATTCGCCCTCAATGTTCTATTTCTACCCGTCTCCGCTCGGTTAAAGACACCAAAATTAATGTGAACATTTATTAATTGGGACACTGCAGTAAGTGAGGGTGATTACAATAATTACACTTCTATTTCAAGTAGTCAACAAAACAAATTACACCATTAAAAGTTTCCCATTGAACGGCGGAGGGCGAGTGAGTCAGAGTCTTTTTTCTATTGTACAACAGGTAATTTTTCGTCTGGCTCAAACGGTGACGGTAAATTTATGTTAAACCATTTGCCTTTGTTAAAATGAAACTCTCGGAAAAGTTGGCCCACAATCTACGGGCACAGAACATCTCTTAATTTCAATGTCAAGGACCAGGTTTCATTTATCTTAATTTCTGGCTCGAGGAAGCAAAACGAACAAAACACAAAACAATTAATTAAGCAATAAATTATGTTGTTGTTGTTTGAATGTTCAACAATGCTTAATAACTCATTGAAGAAGAAAAAAATCAACAAAATTAAAAAGCAGCATAATCGACATCTTGCAGTATAGCCGATACCAACTTAAATGTAGGTCGGGTGAACTTGGTGTCCGAAAAACTTATGTGCACTTTTATAATATATTCTGACAGCAATGTTTAGTGGTTCTTATCGGCTCTCCTTATAAACTTTAAAATGCAAGAAAAAAACCGAAATTTCATGTAATTTTAAGTTAGGGGTCATTTGTGTTTCTAGTTAATATTTTATTTTCACCATTGACTCCTTTTACTATATCAATCTTTTATATTCGAACATGTCCTTTTGTCCACGATTTTCCATTTCCCTTACCAACCTCTTTCACCAATCCTAATAAAATCCAATATCAATTTACAATATGATAGTCCTATTGAGGACAATCTCAATAAATTAGAAAACGTATCTACGATAATCGCCAATTTCATCAATAGGATTCGTTTTTGAGCCCATTGACAGACGGATAGACAAACCGATGGACATGCATAAATCGACTTCAAAAGAAATACTATTCTTCTACAGGGATTGTTATACATTTATTTATATAATTATCGAACAATTGCCAATTTCCAATACCAATCACCTTACACACAATGCAAATTATAATGCCAAATTTCGGAGCTTTACGTCAAATAATATGGACTTGATTTCAACAGATATACATCATTGAATCGTCCTAGAATTTTTTTTAGTGATCACGAATATGTTTTTTTTTTTGTACTTTATGGGGTTACCGACGAGTATGTATGTATGCATGTATTCCCTTTTTCTATGGCGCAGGATATAAAAATGGAGACCCTACATATTATTTATCAAAAATATTTTTATCGCTTATAGCGGGTCAAGCTTAAGCAGGCATAATTAGCGTGAATGACTCAGAAGGGCCATGCTGTAGCATCGTTATTACGATAAAGCACATACAATGAACAACCCAAGATTGGCGCTCATTCTAGCAAAGCTTTTTCATGGCAAAGCACAAAGAAAATAATAGAAAATAAAATCTTTGCCTTAACAAAGTTGAAATCTAGATTTAGTCGGCAATTTTTATGTAGACATTTTAATTTTTCACAGGTTTTCGACTATATACATATGTATAAGCAGAGAATGTATAGCATCTTTCATTAATTTAACACAACATAAATGTATTGTTTTTTTTTTTTAATTACTCTCGAAATACAACTGAGAAATGTTAATTCGTATATTTTTTAATCCTGATTTAACACATACCCAAATATATGAACCTTGCTGAGCATTCGACCTTTGCGATTCAAAACAAAATACAATATTTAATAACAAAAAAATACGTTTACAACTCTCTGTGTATTGTTCCTTCTTCGTCTTTTCAGAGTCGCTTGTTAGAAGACGCATCCCTTCTATGCAATTCATGGTCAGCACGTCAAAATGTAAGTGATGTCGACAGACAAAAAATAAATTTCTTTCTTTCACTTCCTTTCTCCTTTGGTCCATCACTACATTGGAATATAAATACCAACACACGCACGATACCAGCCAACATGTATGCCAGTTCACTGGCATGTATATGTATGTGTTTGCGTTGATAAAAAATTCCTGAGATCTGTTTTTATTTGCTTTTTGTTTTGCTTCAGCAAAAGAAAATAAGAACAAAAAACTCAAATAAAATATTTATGATTTATTAGTCCAAACACTCTCCCATACATTTCTATAAATTTACGCTCGAAAATATGCAATAAAATTTTGAGATACGTGCGATTGTCTTTAGCACGCTTTAAAAAAATATCCAGCCCACGCACTGGTGTGTGTGTGTGTTGTCTCTATGCATATGCATATATCTATGTGTGTGTACATAAAAACACATATGTATATGGAAATATATTCTCTATAACAATTTACTGTGTTACATATAAATACATATGTACACATATACTCAAGCATAATATTTACGTATGTATTGTATGTACATGACCAAAGAAGTGAATGGTTTTTATGAAAATAAATACAACATTTTTTGACATTGCTTTTTATTGTTTACATTCACAATAAGGAAATTATTATGTTTGTCTATGATGATGCTTAAACAAATATCATGAGAAAGTAAAAGTGCGAATATTTCTTCTCCAGGATAAGTGTACAGGTAGACAACATGATCAATGAACTCCGGCAAAAGTATATATCTCATCGACAAATATTTTGAAATATAAAATAAAACTATTAACTGAGGGCATATTCTGTAACTTTTTAACGACAGTCGATATTATTATTTTATTGAGTTTTTCCCTTTAACAACACAAATAACAACATTGCTATACCAAAACGGTTTTATTAACTATTGTTGTTCTTTTTGTTATAAAAACAATAGAAAAATTGTGCTTGTTATTTTGTTGGATTGGATTTGCCTTGTGTTGTGTATGATTTTTTTTTTTTTTTTTTGGAAAATTTTAAACTTGAAAGCTTTTAAAAGTTTACCGACAATCTATCCACATTTTTACAGAATAGTATTATGTTTACTGCAAGCAACAAAAGCTGTTTATTAAATAAACAACAGGGTATTAGGAATACAGGATATTATGCATAATGTTTTTATACCCTCCACCATACTATGAAGAATATAAGAGTTTGAAAAGGTTTCATTTGTAATCTCTTGAAACAAGCTCTTTTAAACACCAAAAAGTGTATAAATTTTGGACCAGCATAATATTCTGTGTCGACTTATCCATACCTGACAATTTTACTCAAATGTATTTAAGGTCCTACTTGATTTCCCATAGCTTCCTTATAGGATACCACCCGATTTAAGATTTTTTGTGGGTTTAGTCAAAATTCAACCGGAAACGGCTTTTAGGTATTTTAACCTAGCAAAGCTCTAAATTCAGTGCTACATTGCGGTAAAATACCACCAGATATTCAGGTTTTAGATTCTATAGCCACATTTTTCAACGTATTTTTTTTCAAATGTTATATTTTTGGATTGCGTTATAGGCCCCACCTTATCCGTCATATAATTGTCTATGCAGCTCCATGCTTTCGTATCCATTTAAGCTCCATTTAACGGTTTGTTAATTGGATGATTGTCGATACATTTTTCAACTCAAAGTTAGTTTTTGAGGTCCGCATCAGGTCTCATCTCTTTTTTAGTAGATAATTGACACAATTTCATATAGTCCCCACAGCCTCCGGGGACCGAGACTATCTTGCTTAAAAATCTCCTTTTTTTGTCGGTCGGACACCCCGAAATGGATTTGAAAGCAATTTCTGGCTACGTCGGTGAGCCCCCATATAACATATTTGCTATTTTGGGACATGGTTTGGCAAGTTCCTAATAACAGATATAGCATATACTGCTCAAATACTGGATCTAGGCACTTATAGATAAGTTTAAAACAATTATTTTCCAAATGGTGGAGGCCTTTTACTCCTTTACCCACTTAGACTTATGTTTATCTATTCGGGATTCGACGTTATGACATTCCTAAAAAGGGGATGCGTTCGCCCATAAAAACCAGATACCATCCATTTATTTTTTCTGATGGGCTTTCTAATTATAAGATGTTAGAAAAAAAAAAGAAAGTTTCTTTCGCGACCCAAAGATAAAGAACTGTTTAGGGAATCTCCAGTCTTTTCTATCGAATTCTAGATATGTTAAACAAGTTTCAAGCATTATAAATTCACAATTATCACATTCTATTTTAACATCTACTCTTAACGTTGCGCTGACATCGTGGAAAAAGATATGACCTTTGTGTCCATTAAGTCTAATTCATCTGGTCATTTACACTTCAATATCTTAACACCAACTGCATGGAAAGTATCTCATATCGTGACTCTGAAATAAGCTGGTGTTTATGATCGTGGCAGCTCTAGCTATATACATATGCTGCCACCTGTTCTAAAATTATGGAACATTCTTAAACTTGAAGTATTTGTTTTTATGGATACTAAACGTATCCTTCAGAATGCACAGTGTTACCTCAGAAACAGAAGCTCGGTTTCTCTTCTCTATGGTGGAATTGATTGCATCTGTTTCAATATTGCTAACAATAAGCTCTGTGTTTTGGTAGCAGTTATCCAGGGTCTTTGCTCGGGTGGACCATTTCTTAATTAACAACCAAACTAAGTGTTTTGTTCGGCTTTTCTAACAGTGTTAGTGAGTTAATTTGGCCTTACCTGTCAAAAAGGAAACAGATCGTTGTGAAAGTGACGGGCACAATGACAATCTGCTTGTTAAATTTAGCATCTCTCAGGGATAAGATTTGGAACCAATATGATCCCTTCCCTTATGAACGAGTTGCAGTCAGGTAATTTCAATAGCAGATGCGTATTCTCAAACTGAAGTCTTGTTTTCCCCACTAAACCAATTCATGGTCTGACATAGAGATATGGTAACAGTCGTGTTGATTTTGATTAGGATTTTTTTTTGTTGATAAACTTAGTTTTAATCTCCGGTTTCTTCAAAAATAATTCTGTCTTTGAGATATATTTGTAATGTAGATGAGTACTTAGAAAATCATTGTACTTTAAAATCAATATACTGTGCATTTGTCGAAGTATGAAATCCGAAAAATCGCTTAAAATACTTCATCACATTTTTTCACGGATTTGTCTAAAAATTGGTATTTGTTGATAATAATAGGTTCTAATTCCGGTGGCGGAACATTGTATGTATAGGTCTACTTTTTCGTATATCCCCATATAACGGTACCTCCCGTTTTGGTATGAACCCGTACTACGCTCTTTATGATTTTTTGATAAGTTTAACTGCATTGTCCAAACGATCTTACTGGTATATATAGCTTAAGTGGAACAAGCTTGAATTCAGATACTTTTATATAAAAATGTTTTCTTTACCCAATGGTGCAGGGTATTTAAAGATCGGCCCAGACAAGCTTAATGTTTTTTAATTGTTCTTTTTTTAATTTTTCGTAATTTTTTATGTCGAATGAATTTCTTACAGTTAGACATACCATATTGAAAGGTACACTTTATTTGATGGGCAAAATGAAGGATTGGCATCTAGCTTTCCAACACCAGGACGACACAGCTATATTGGGCTCATATAAAAACTTGAAACTAATTATTCCATATGGCAACTATCCGTCCAATGAGAACTCAAATATAAAATCCATCGGGACTGAAATCAGTGGACTGTCGATTACCAAGTGATACTGCAAAACGTGGACATTACAAAATAGTAGACCAAATTGAAAATATTGTTACACGAGGATGCCGTAATAGTGAGTAATTGTTAAACATTCATGTCAAATGTCAGATTAGGGCTCATTCGGTCGGAAATTTTGGCAAAAACATGCAGAATGACGATTATTAGAAAGAAGCTCGGGACCGTATTACACCATGACATGACAAAATTACAGAAGGTAGAACAAAGCTGGAATGCGATATGTTCAGCTCACGAGTCATTTTCGGCCACTGCGACGCGGGATTCGATCAAGTCGCTTCTTTAATTTTCGAACCATTTCTGCTGATGTTGCTGTTTTCTTCTGTCCACTTCCTAGACGTCGGGCTACGCTACCAGTATCACGGTAACGAGCGATGGTACGAGACACAAAAGATTTATTCACATTTAAATGCTAGCCGAAATACAAATTTTAGCCAAACATTAATCTACATTAAAAATTTTCTGCGAAGAGGTTTTCTATTAGCCCCCTTTTGTAACAATACAAATACATATATATATATATATATATATATATATATATATATATATATATATATATATATATATATATATATATATATATATATATATATATATATATATATATATATATATATATATATATATATATATATATATATATATACATATATATATATATACATATATATATATATATATATATATATATATATCTATTATGGGTAATATATTATGAGAAAAAAAAATTGCATGGGGACTTTGGGATTTTGATCTTCTAACCGAATACTATCCTCTTAGAATTCCCAGCCCTCGGATTGGCTGTTGCATAGTTCCTCACTATTGCGCATAGTTCCTACATAGTTGTAATTATTCACTATTGCGCATAGTTCCCCGTATACCCGTTCCTTCGATTCAAACTATCTCTAAGGTTTCGGAAGAATTTCGGGAGAAAATAAATCTTTTTCTTACTAAATTTCCAATTCGCTATATATCTTTGTTTAATTCCCCTATTGCATGCCCCTTTGTATTCGATATTTCAGTGATTGCAGTCCCAATGAATTTTGCGTTTTGAGTTCTCATTAGTCGGATTATTACCAAAGGAAATACGTTGATCCACGATTTGATATGAGCCCATACAGCTAAGTTGGCCATATTTGTTTGTTTAAATGTTGGTGAGCCAGATACCAATTTTAGTAAGGAGAGATCAGAATTAAATACCGTATTATGCTCTATTTTCATTTTTTACATATTTCATTCAGAATTAAAAAATCTAAAATAGTATGTCAACATAATAAAATCTCATGCGATATAAAACGTTACGAAAAATTAAAAAAATATACATGCCATTTTATTTGCTTATTTTTGTGCCATTTTTTGGCTTTCATCCTTTTCTGTCAGGAGACCATTCCGAAGTGGTGTAAATTATCAAAATCTTGAGTTATAAGAATAGTAACTAACATAACTTTTTATACCCTCAGCCATATGGCTACAGAGGGTATATATCATTTGATACGGTGTATATCATTTGATCAAAACGTGTATCTAGTCGATATAACAGTTTTAGACCTTTGGACCAAATTCGTTTCAGAACATTTGGAGTCGATCTAGCGATGTCCGTCTGTCTGGCTGGCTGGTGCGCACGATAACTCTCGAAGGGAGTATCCGATTTGGTACACACTTGGTACATCGTAATATTTTTGTCAAACTTAGTTCGTAGTTGGGCAATATCGCTCCACTCCTTCTGGTACCTCCCCCACAAAAGTTAGAAATTTTAAAAAAATAAATGTTTTGCGCAGAAAGTGAAAGGATAATCCGATTTTGCTCCAACTTTGCACATCCTAATATTGGCGTCAATTCTAGGTCAGGTGTGAAATGGACAATATCGGTCCACTTTATCAAGTAACCCCCCCCCCCCCCACAAATGGTCAAAATTTTGAATAATTACAACTCTCATAAAATGTGATGTGAGATTCCGATTGTCTTCAAATTTCACACATCCCAATATTTATATTAACCCAAGGTCTGGTGTTAAGATGGAATATATCGGTCCACTCCTTCTGGTACCTCCCCTACAAATGGTCGAAATTTTCAAAAAATATATATTTTTGCACAGAAAGAGAAACGATAATGCGATTTTTCTCCAACTTTGCGAATATTAATATTTGCGTCAGTTCTAGGTCTGGTGCGAAAATTGACAACATCGGTCCGTTCTTTCTGGTACCTCAAAAATGCGCAACATTTTAAATATCCATGAAGTTCGTAAAAAGCGAAATCAACATCCGATTCCATTCCAGCCATGGTATATCTAAAATATTTCCATCAACACAAGATCTGTTATAAAGATGGTAGAAATCGGATCATTACTTTTGCTACCTGCTCCACATAGGGTTCAATGTTTTGAAAACCAAAACGCTCAAAGAAAGCAAAATAAAATTTTTAAATTTCACACATACAAACATATTTGCTAACACAAGATCTGTTGTGAAGATGCTATATATCTGCGAACCCCCTCTGGTACCTCACCCACAAAGAACACAATTTTCAATACTTATATCAGTCATAAATTGCGAAACAACTCAGAAATGGGCAATATTGGCCCATTCTTTCAAAACCCACTCCAGAGAGGGTCAAGTTTGAAAAATCATAACAGAAGTCAAAATATTTTTAAATAATCGAACATTGGGTGAGGGTATACATCTGTCGGCAAAGCCGATCGATACTTTTCTACTTGTTATATATATATATATATATATATATATATATATATATATATATATATATATATATATATATATATATATCGATGGAAAAATAATAATAATTATTATTATTTTGTTCACAAAAAACGATTGAATTCAATATGATAAAATTGACAAATAATATGATAATAATCATAATTTAAACTGATAAAAAAAAATGGTACATTATATAAAATTGACAAATAAAAGAAAGGCAAATTGAAAAACAAAACAGAAATAAATTTATAAACTTGTTCTCAGATTTTTTACAGCAAATGTTTAAAGGTCCTTACCCACCTGCGCATCATATAAGAATTCAAAAAGAAAAAAAAAACAAAAGTAAATTCGAAAATAGAAAGTCAAAATAAAAAAAAAATCCTGAAATATAAAACATTACAATTTCCAAATCAATCATTCCAAAAGTCAAAATGAAAAATTCCACATTTCACAATTTTCGCGAATTCTGAATCGTTAAAATTAGACCAGCGGTTCTTGAGTTATAAGCGTAATAACTAACATAACTTTCTTTTATGTATATAGATTCTTTTAAAATACAAATTTTAAGATTTGTAAAATATAATTTTATTCCTTCCAAATTACATATTTTTTGACCACTAAAAATACATTTTGATTGTTTTTTTCTTATTAAAGATGATTTGAAAAAAATGTTTTATTTTTGTTGCAGGGTGATATATTTGCTGGTATCAATGATGGTATACTAAGTAGAGCAGAAGCTCTATCCGCGATGGATATAGGCAAACATCAAGCATCACATGTACATCCCTCACAAATGACCTCCCAAATGAAACATGATGTTATGTACCATCACCATAGTATGGGAGCGCCTCCACAAAGACCATTGCAGGTAAGTCGGCATTACCGTCGTATCCAGGGCACATTGATTAAAGCAAAAGACAAGCACGTAAATGTCGTTCGTAGTAGCTTGAAAATTCAATATGAATGGGAACTAAAAAAATAGTTGAACACCTTTCCATTCATAGGTATCCGAAGGCTCAAGTTTGTCTGTCTGCCAGCCATAAATATATACATTACAGCAACCGCATGTATGCGTGAAAGTGTTCTGGTGCGGCAAGCCTTTCAAAAACGCTTATGGATTTAAAATATGCAACCCCTGCCAAGTAGCAATTGTCAAGTACTTTTGGTTCGCGACTTGATAGATAGAGAGTGAAATAAGCAGAAAATGACTTCTTTTTATCCATTCGGAAGAACTGATTACAAAGTGTAAACTTAATCAAAATGCATTTTTATTGTTTTAAACCCCTCCAGCATAAAATGGAGTACATTTTTCGAATTTGTTGTTTCGTTTGCAACAACCCAAAACATTCCTCGAAGAACTCATATATATTAAATATTCATTGTCAGCGAAAGATTCAAGAGTCTAGATTCCATATCGAATTAGTCATCTCCGTTTTTTTTTTTGTCCATCTGCTCGCACTTTTAATGGTAGAGACAGACTCGATATTAGGTATTGAAAATGAAATGCAGGATATTTTCGGTATTTTTAAGGTTTTGATCAAATCTGCTGCATTTTCACTGTTCGGGTTATTGGTGAAAATATCCAATGTAAAAAAAATCCACATAACGAAGCCTCCAAATTTAAAGGATTTTTCGGATAACCCATTTGATCATAAGTTAAATGTCCACATATCAGGCGTCCAGCCAAACTTATCCTCGTTTTCACTTGTTTAAAATTATGTGAACATGGTTTTCTTTTTTATTTGCTATTGAATCACTTTGAATAGAGAAAACATAATTTGTATTGGGTCTTATCTCTAAATCGACCACTGCTTAGACGAGAGTTTTTTAGGCATAATGTATTTACTTCTTTTATCAACCGGTGTCGGAGAGAACCGTTTTCTTGCGATTGGGACACGGAGCGACAAATTAAATATTAAATATTTTCCATATGACCAACATTAAAAATTAGAACCAACTTTCAGCGAAAATATACCTATTTCTCGTTTGTTTCGATTAAATGACATCCGGAAGGGTTTTAATAAACGCCAACATAATCGTCATCCTTCTTTTTTTTTTGTCTTTTTGAAATCAAACATGTGAACATGACTATGCAAAAATGATAGGTATATTGTCACAGCGACAAGGGTAGTTCCATCTCCATTTTTATAGTTTCCAAACAATATATTATTTTCTTGCAGGGTTATGTAGTTAAGCATCAACAGCGGCAGCGTATAGAATCGCTTAAAACAATTTCCAGGCGACACCTTGCATAACGCCATTCAAAAGGTAGTAGTGGAGTGAGGCTTGGTGTCTTGCTGTTGTGCGTGTGTGAGTATGAGTGCGTGTAAATACTAACACACTCCTTGTCGAAAATAATGGGGGGGGGGGGGTTTCAACGGTTCATTGAAAACTGGTTGCACAATTTGATTACAATCAACTATCAAACCAATGACTTAAGGGCTAATGCGAGGAATACCCATGGAATTGCTTCGAATTTATACTGGAGAACAATTGCACTTGGCAAGATTGGTGGCCACTTGCCACTTTAATTCACAATCACCCACAACGGAACACAGCACGACAAGTACAAGTAGATACTCATGTAACGGCGACAATACAATTAACGACACGATTCCTGGTGTACTCACCTGACGAACGACCGTCACGTGTCCATTTCCCAGGAGAAAAACCACCGTGTTAGGTGAATACTATGTATGTGAATGAATGCCACTTGTGTGTGTGTGTGTGTGTGTGAGTGTGCCGTTTCCCTCTACTTTAATTGTATTAAAAAAAATCGAAAGGCAAATGAAATTCATTCTCGTTATTAGCCAAACTGTCAAAAATTCAATTAAAGTAATAATAAAAATCAACCAGATCCGAATGTTACACCACTTCCAAAAGGATGAGTCTGCTGGTGGTGGTAAACTGCTCGGATGGGTGGCATTATGCTACAATTACCAAAAACGAAAACAACAACAGCGTTAATTAGACAAACACTACAACAACAAGAAGAGAAAGAACAACACATCTACATCAGCTCAGAAAGGAAAAACAAATTCAAATTATAATTACGATAATGAAAGAGTTAAGATGATGTTGAGCGGTGGTGATGGGAAAGTAGTAAAGGATTACACTTTTACAGCCCTTCCCCACCCTTGTGCATGTCACTGCCTGCCTTGGCATCTGTACTTTTCTTCGGCTCCACAATACCATTAGCTGTGATTAGAGAAATTATGATTTGTAGTCGTAAAATATGTTACATTTTGTACACTTGACGTCCGACTGGCATAGCGGCGGGGTAACTGGTTTCTCCTGGTTACCACTTACTGTACAAGTATTTTTTATGATGAGACAATTGTGTGTCCGTCCGTCCGTACGACCGACCGCCATCCCTTTGCTGCACCCTAAAAAATAAAAATGTGTAATTCAATTTAAATTATACTCACATGCTTCCGGCTAGGAAGTTAACATTGTCCTCGTCCTCATCATCGTTGTCATGTTCGTTGTGGTTGTGGTAGTCGCATATGAATTAGATACGGATATTTTCGAGCATATGGTTTAATTTCCCTGAAACAATTTCCCTACATGCACGCGTACATTTGCTGTTCCTTTTTTCTATGTTCCGTTAACCGCAAGTGGTTAATCGAATGAAAATTCATTTAGAACACCTGTTTGTTTTTTTTTTTTTGTTTTTGTAATGTTTTCAATACCGTCAAGTGATTTTTACTTTTTTCCATTGCATGATTGAAACTGGTTGTGACATTCGGGGTCGTTTTAATATTCGTATTGAAGAAATTTTCTGCAATTTTTCTTCGGTCCAATATAAAGTAGTGTCCAAAACACACCAATCACAGAACCAAATATATATTTTTACCAGGGTATTGAAACATTACCTCTAGCGAAATTAAGTCGATACGGCTCTGTGCGTCGTTTCTTCGGGCATATGATGAAGATGAGCCTACTAGTAATTTTTGATATGTTACAATCTTAAATCAAGTTTCCATACTCCCCCCTTCAGTGGTGTATGGTAAGAATATTGATTTTTATACCCTCCACCATACATAGTATGGAGGGTATATTAAGTTCGTCATCCCGTTTGTAAATTGATCAGCGTAAAATGCTAAGACGATTTAGCCCTGTCCGTCTGTCTGTCCGTCACGATACAGTCAAAACGAATTAAGATAAGAAACTAAAATTTTGCACAGATCTGTCTTTTGTCTGCAGGCAGGTCAAGTTCGAAGATGGCTATAACGGTCCACGATATCGAATAGCTCCCATATAACGGTATTTTGTCGATGTTAGCCACATTTTTTAAAGAAATTGTCTAAAATTCTACACAAGGAGTTCTTCGTGAGCACTTTACCCCTAGAAAGAGAGTTGTCTGTATAGATCCACTATATCGTATAGCCCCCATTTAACGGTACCCCCGAAGTTCGGTATTTTGATGATTTTAGCCACATTTTCTAATGGAATTGTCTGAAATCTTTATACCCTGAAGGAGAATTGTCTATATAGGTTCATGATATCGTATAGTCCCTATATAACGGTACCCCTCGATATTCGGTATTTTTATGATTTTAGCCACATTTTTCCGTAGAATTGAAGTTCATTGTGCCACAAGAAGTTCATTGTGACTACTTTACCCCTAGACATAGATTGGTCTGTATAGGTCCACAGTATTGTATATCCTCCAATATATCGACACCTTACGATATTCGGTATTTTTAAGATTTTGAAAGAATTTTTAATGGATTTTATTTCTTTTGAAAATTTCGTAATTCGTTCCAAATGGTGGAGGGTATTCAGAGTTCGGCCCGCCTGAACTTAATGCTTTTTTACTTGTTTTGTAATCAATAAGCAAAGGCTTCCGTATTTATGATTAGTAATCACTAACATTTCTGTAGATGTGATGCCCTTGGAATACATAATTGGACAACTTAAAAAAACATTCGAAATCTCAAGGTTCGTTCTCTAATTTTCAATTCGTACGGTTTATAAGTAACTTGCTCATTTCCAATTTAAATGCTTATTTGGCCCCCTTTCGTATAATCCTCATAGATCTGCAACCAATATTTTCCAAAAACTTACGACCTCCAACAAATTACAAAAGTAAAGAATCGGGTATATACCTTTTTTCAAGAACTAATTTCCCAAAAGAAAATGTTTCAAATTGGAAATTTTCTTTGTATTTTTTAGTTTTTAATTGTATTTTGTCTACTTCCATTTTATAATCTTTCTTTTAATACAAGCCACACACGTTACAACTGTTGGTACAACTAGGAGGGTAGCCAACATAATTAATAACTTTGTGTACAACCTCTTTGTATAAATTCACTTTTTGTAGATTTTATTTGGATTAATGTGACACCGTGAGTAATTTCATGCTCTATAATTGACTCCATTGTTTTTTTTTTTTTTTAATTATTATAAATTTTTGGAATCTAATTTTAAAATATTATAATATTCATTAAAATCGCACATTTGATTGGATTTCGTATTGTTTTGACGTGCGAAACAATGGAGTTGCCTCTTCGAAAATAAACACAAAATAATATTGTTTGTGACAGGCCCACAAACTTTACAATCGGTTGCAAAATATCAAAAAATGTTGATTTTTGGTACAACTGAGATACAACTACGTTCAACCGGCCCACAAACGATACAATCAAGAATACAACTTCTCCAAGTTGTACATCCAGTTGTATCGTGTGTGACTTGCATAATGAGGAATTCTATGTTACTTTGCGATGTAAAATTTAACGGACGACTCGCAGTAACAGTTGTATCTTTTGGTACCAAGTAAACATTTTTGATTATACCCGACACCACACTGTACTACAGGGTTTTATGTCTTTGTGCATTTTTTTTGTAGCATACAAAAGGAAA